CTTCCCATTATAGGTCATCGGCTTAAATATAATCCCCATGAGTGTGACCAAAACGCTTTGCTGTTTGACTGCTGTCTGCTGACACACACGACCGAGGCTGGCAGCCTGGCTCTGGTTAGGTCACTGTGCAGATCCCAGCAATCGCCGTGGCTGTCGCTGCTTGGGGCTGCAAGGATGGGAAGCAATTGGGAACTGCTCTGTCCTTGCCCTTCTGGAGGGAAGCACAGAAGATAATACACATGGCTTTCCATATTTCTTTTCTGGAGACAGGTGAYTGGCCTTCAGCTCGAAGGCAGGGGCTCTTAAGGATACCGTGAGCGCCCTGCGGAATGTGCACTGCTGCCCAGTAGGAGGGAAAGGAAGGAGACCACTTCATTTTCAAATGTGCCACAGATCTGGCTCTGTAAAGTAATAGGCACAGACCCGTGCAGAACGGGTGAAAACACACTTTCCCTACCGAAAGCAAGTGCCAGTTAGGATTTTGTCTTAAAAATGGAAACTTGGGAAATCCTGATGCAACAGGGCCCAGCTGTTCCTGACTGAAATCTCAATATCTAAGTGGCATCTAGGTGCCCATTATAGCTCTTGCTTGCTGAGAGTCCTGCATTCCGTGGAGCAGACCATGGTTTCCCGTGGCCTTACAGCCCGTGGCCCCTGGTCACCGCAACCCTCAGAGGCTGCGCAGCCCTTGCTAGTGCAGTGGGAGTGCGGCGGCACAGCGCCCGGGGGCCCATCTTCCCGCTGGGAAGGCCGGGAGAGAAGCTGGCCCCGCTATGCCGCGGGGCCCACAGGTACCAGGGACAGGGACGTGGCAGGAGGGAGGTTAAGCCAGGCCCGGAGGGCTGGGCAGGGGTGCCAGAAGACACACCGGAGGACACGCCAGGTTCCTCCCCAGGCAAGTCAGCTCAGGAAAGGATTTTCTGTCCGGGGACGGATCGAAAATTCAAGTTAGCATTAGCTTGAAGGTGATCTAAAGCAGACTTTCTCCTTGTTTGGAGAGAAGGATAAGATTGAGTCACAAATGAATATTTTGCTGGATTTCTGGTAGATGATGCCTTTTGCTACCAATTGAAAAACAAAACAAAATGAAAATTTGAACCTTTGGATTTAAAAGTATTGAGGTGAAATTTGGAAATTTTCTAAAAATATTTTACAGGTAGCTAAGGGGAACACAGGATCCAGACAGAAAGCTAAACTAATCTGCATTTCTGAGTGACTTTAATCACCTCAAACTAAATTCTGTGCTGCATTTAGCTGCACTTGGCAACAAAATTTCATTTTTTGGCCTCACAATTAAAATTTACAGTGCAGTTGTGTTCATCTGGTAGTCTAGAGAGCTTCCACACAGTCATGCCTGCCTTTAATGCTACTTCTCATATACTGGCCTATGTATGTTTTTCCTTTGGTTCCTACTCTTGAAATTAAAATGATATTTGGTTTAGATATTTAAAAAAGCGTATAAAGGAAAGGACATATTGCATGTTTGAAGCTTTGATTTCTCTAAAGACAGATGTGTTTAAAAAAGCATTAGCACTTGCTAATGAGGATCATTCAGTCCCTTGGTACCAGCAGGTAGATGTGTTCCTACCTAAGGAGTGAGGTATCTCTCGCAGTACAGAGAGGCTTGACCTTGAGGCGCCGTCTGCGATTCAGTCCTTGTGCTGCTCCGCAATGAAGTGTTTAAAGAAGTGAGTTTCCAACCACAGATGATGGTTTCAGTTCCTTAACGTGAGACTGAAGTCACCATTTGTCAGCCGGGCCCTGCAAGCGTGAGGAGAGCGAAGTAAGAGATGCTGCAGCAAGGTGGTGATCACTGTGGCTCACAAGAGGACAGAGGCTAAAGATACTCTGTAAGAGTCAGAAACTGCATTTCCATAATCATAATTTACTTTGACTCAGTCTTCCCTGCAGCTTGAGCTATTGCATGGCATTTGGTAGAGCTAGTTTGTGCTTGTAGAGAAAGAGGGCGATGACCTTCTAGGCTGCAATTGCAGAGAAACAGCTTTCAAAAATCACTAGCAAAACTGCCCTTGGTTTCAGCTACCGAAAAGTGCTGCTTGTGGTTAAGTTACGATATATGTATGTAAATGCATTATTAATTTAATCTCTGGCTCCTCTCATAACTCCTATTGCAGTCAGGTTGCAATATGCAAACTATTATTTTATTGCATGTTACAGTGTATTCTGTAAGATCCCTGGGAGATATTGGGTGCTGAGGATGTGTGCGTTTGCTTAGACTCATGGATAGGAGAGAGGTGGATTGCTTCAGTAAGTGTTTTTGTACACAAAGTAGGGCCTGAAAGAGCTGAACAAATGTCATTGTCTAAGTCTCCCAAGAGTAATTTCCCCTTTTCCTTTTGTTTCTTTTCTCTCCATTTCTTCCTTGCTCCTCAGTAGTTCTTCTCTCTGGTCTCTGACTTCTCTCTCTGAGGCCGGGCTCCTCTGCAGAGGTAACACAGGAGGGAAGTGGTTTCCCTTTGGTTTCCGAAGGGGCTGAGTGCACTGCATCTTCCGTGCCCCCGCAGTGCCGTGGGGCTGCAGCCAAAGCAGGGGCGCGGAGCCCTCCTGCAGAACGGAGCCCGTCCCTGAGGGCAGCGCGGCCGCGAGCGCCTTGCCCGGGCGGGAGCGAGCGGCATCTCTGGGGGCAGAGCCGAGGGCAGAGCCGAGGGCAGGGCCGGCGGCAGAGCCGGGGGCTCGGGGCGCCCGMAGCCCCACCACAGCCGGTTGTTCGCGTGCGCCGGGCTCTGCCGCGCAGCGTTTGGGCACCGCGCTTGCACAAGGGCCTGGCCTAGGAGCACAAAATGCCAAGCACACCTGAGAGCTTCTGGGGCGTGTGTGTGCAGATGGGGAGAAAGATGTGATTTCTTTCTGCTCTGTTTGCTATTTGGTTTTTTAATTGTTGGGGCAGTAATTTATTCCATGCAACACGCAGTGCTGTTGTTGTCTTTACTTCCTGAACTGCTCCGAAGCCAAGGCGTACGAGTTTGGTGTGAAGGGAGAGCTGCCAGGTGCCAGGTTAATAAATCCAAAGAAATGGAACTGGAAGTCTGTAGAAGAAACACAACAGGGAAAAGTCCTAAGGGCTGCCATTGCCAGGGAACCAAAGGGCAAAAGTGGGACAAAAAAATCATGTTTTGTGTTTATCTGGGTGCTGAGGCCTATTTAAGGGGGTCTGGTAAACTAGAGGTCTGTTTATAGACCTCTGGTAACCTAGAGGTCTGTCTGTGGCAGCAGCCACAGCATGGGCACGTATAGCAGAGGCTTCAGGAGCCCTCATGGCAAGTCAGCTCCAATCCTCTCAGTTATAAATGACACCACTGTTAATGTAGGAGGATTTTCCAGTATCTATAAAACTGGATCAAAACTTGTCCCATCACTCTGTGTAGACCAGTGGAATGGTGTGGATGTGTGATAAAGAGCTCTTACAGAGTAGTTTCCATGCCAAGAAGTTTCCTCTTGAAAACATTTTATTATCCTAAAGTAAATTCGAGGTGATTCCTTGGTGATACCCGCTGCTGTAGTCGAGAGTAGAAACGATCCCCAAAATGCAACCACGTGTGTCCCTCACGGCCCCTCAGAGCCAGCAAGGCAGTAACACGCGTTTCCTTATTGTTCACATGGGTCTCCGGGAGGTCTTTGCAGCACTGCTGAATGCAAACGTGATTCAGGATACTCGGGCTGGGGGCACACGTGAAACAGGCTTTTTCCCTGCCTCGCTGCCCGTCAAAGAGGAGATGTTTGGGGAGTTCCTGGCAGACCTAGCTGGATGGGATCAGCTGGTGCAAAATGCTGCTCCTCCATGGACTTCCAAGAGCCAAAGAGAGTAGAAACCTACGCGAGGAATTGTGCATGCAAACCCAGGGCTGCCCGTGCCTAGCAAGCCGGCTGTGTTACCCGTGCACAGCCCTGTCGCTGCTCCCTCCCGGGGCAGAGTGTCCCGGCGGAGCAGAGCGTTTCCCTGCGCTCCGTCTCGTGCGTGCACGAATGCGCCTCGCCGGCAGAGCGCCCGCTCTGTGCACGGCCCGGCGCCGCACGCGCCCTGCTCGCGCTGGGAGACGCCTTGCAAGGGCCCGGCCGGGCTCCACGGAGCAGCCTGCTGCCTCAGGCACTCCGCTCTTCCCCGGGACTTGCGGCATGAAGCCGGAGGGGTCTTGGGCATGTTACCGATGTGCCTGTCTGCCCGGCCTGGGCCGCTGCTCGCCCTGAGCTGTCCCGGCGGGAGGCTCCAGCAGAGGGCACAGGCAGCCAGCAGAAGCTGGGAGCTGCGGAGGATGCTGAGGCTGGCCGGGCTGCAGCGTCCTGAGAGCATCTTTGCTCATGCCTGGACTCCCGCTCAGCCTCGCCGCTTCCGCAGGAGGCACCGCGTCTCCCCTGGGCGCGGGAGCGCAGAAGCCCCGCTTTGCTCGGGGAAGGGGGCCTGTGTGCAGACCTGTGTGAGCTTCCTGCGGGTGGGCATCACTGAGGCTGCTGCTCAGGGCTGCCCTTCCTTCCCACTCACGTGATGCTTTATGGAGTGGCAGGTTTGCTGAGGTGATGGGGAGCTCAGCTTATGACTGAGAGGGCTTGGCACTTTTCCTTTATTCTTCATTAAGCTTCTAGTAACCTGGGAGCTGCCTGGTAACCCGTCTGCCTCAGTGGTTGCTGTTCTCATGCTGCAAGAAACAGAAAAACTCTCAGCTTCAACCTGCAAGATGATCATTTTTTAAGGAATTTGTGTGTAGTCCATCACTGAGCGCAGTGGAAATGGCAGAGGGGGCACAGAGACCTGCCTTCTGTGGCCTGCCTCGGTAGGGCTCTGCAGCACCTCTGCGCAGGGATGGCCCTGCTCCCTTTCCCTCACGTGGCCTGGGTAGTATCCCAAAGGGCCCAAGACACAGGGCAAGGGCTTCCCTGCCTTTGGACCAGCTCGTGAAGGGAAGTTGGTATGTGCCCTGCGCAGAGGTGCAAACCCAAAGCAGCTCCCTCCTTGAGCACGGGCAATCCTACAGAGCCATTTTCTGTGCAGGGCTTTCCCAGGCTCTGTGTTCTCCCCAGGCAGGGCTGTGCCTCTGGCGTAATGAAAAGCACCCTGGAGTTTTCCCTGTTTGTCCCGGTGGATCATCACAGTAAGTGCAGTCATTATGTTATATGACTTATTAGTAATTCACACCTAGCTACAGTGCTGTGGCATCTGGATCTTTCCTCACTGATGACCACAAATAGCAGACAAGTGTTTATACTGTTAACAGTATACATATGACACGTTTTAAATTTGTGGGCAGTATTTGTAGCACACACGTAACTTAATAATTAGGCTTTGTACATGGAATAACACATTTCTTTTGAGTGTCTGCAAACTTTTAACACCCAATAATGAATTTAGCCTTGCTAAACCCCCAGTATTGGCAGTGTTGTGAGTTTTGCTCTTCAGGGAAAAATCAAAGCAGAGGCACTAAAGAGACTTGCCAGAAGGCTCTTGGAAACTGAGGCTAAATGGATCAACACACGCCAGTCTTTAGGTTCCCAGGTCTGCGGCATAGCCATTAACTGGGTGTTTGTGCCTCTGCCTCTGGAGCCGGAGTGAAGGCCAGCAGACAGCCTGCTGGGATCAGAAAGCAGCAGCAGGCTCCTTGGCTTGTAGAGCTCACACCATGAGTTGCCCGTGGCAGAAGTTTCGCTGCATGAAGCAAGTGCTAAAAGTCATAGTTGCCATTTACTGCGGATTAGTTCAGGTAGGTGAGAAACCCAGGTGGGAGATGCTTTGATTCAGTGTCCTCTCCTATGGAAGCCAATGGGGAGCTGTAGCTGGAAGTGAAAAGCATCTTCCTTTGGTCAGAGCCTCAGGGCGCTCAGTGGTCACGTTCATTCAGCAGTCATAGGAGCATGCCTGGAAACTCATCCACAATCTGTGGATTGTCCTGGAAAGGGGAGAGGGAAATGACTGGGCAAATAAGTATGGGAACAAGGATAATGGTAGATTTCTTATATTCCTGTGGCAAGATAATTCATTTTCTTGGAGAGGCTTTTCCTGCAGCTGGTAAAATGCTGAGAAAACAAACAAACAAACAAACAAACACACAAAACCCCCCATGCGTATTGGCAGATTTTGTCACCCATTTTTGTATTCAGTCTTAGCTAAGCAGGTATATTTGTATCCCATGTTAGGCCCAGGCAACAACTTGCAGCTTCAGTTCTGGTGCTAGAACTGGAATCACTTTGAAACAGGGAGCTCTCCCACATGCAGCACATGTTGACCAAGTGAAGCGAACTTGGGCTTGCATCTTTCCAGGTAGAATAACTAGCCTAAGGCTAATCTGTCCCAGGCCTGCAGCGCTGGTTAGTGAGTTGTTTTCTGCTGCTTCCTTGCCATGCAGGCTTATCCTTGGACAACATTTAGCTGTACAACCCAGCATTTCCCTAGTTACAGATCATTAGATAGATGACTGTTTACTCACTAAAACAAAATAGCAATAAATAAAATAAGATAATAATAAAAAATAAAATAAATATTAAGGGGGATTCTCTCTTACCCTCAGCCCCACCAGCAGCCGTGCTCTTCACGCCCTCCATGAGCCAGAGCTGGCCCACCAGGCAGCCGGTGCAGTCCCTACCCAGGCTAGTTACTCTGTGTTTTTCTTTCCTCTCTTTTTCTCCTAAGGTGACTTCCCCACCAGCTGAGTCAGCTCAGTGCGGGGTCAGGAGAGGGCCAGAGGTGGGGAAGCCGACGCAGCGCAGAGCCAACGGGAGAGCAGGGAGCAGAAACTCCCCTCTGTGGCAGCGGGTGGCTCAGCCCCTCCGCCCAGGCAGTCTTGGGCTGCTGGTGTGGCAATCGGTGGCAGCGTGGAGAGCAGGATGACCTGCTGCTTTGGAACGCTCCCCAGATAGCATTCATCCTTCAGAGCACGAGTAACCTCCGCAAGAGTCATCCCTGTGACTCCTCTGCTAGACTGCAAACAACCTTTGATTCACGGGTTGCCCAAGTGGTGGTGTCTGCTTCCATGAGAGGAGCTCTCGGTTGCCCAGCGTGCCCTCAGGGCTGGCAGGGCTTGGGCCTCTGCTGCTGGAGCAACACGGGATGCTGGAAGACATCTCAAATGGCCCTGCTGGGCACCTGTGTCTCTGAGCATGAGCTCATCCTGAAATGGCTAGTGAGGAATCTGCCTGCAGGGGCAGTGACTACTGTGTTTGGGTAAAAGAGGCATCCCCCTGCTTCCAAAACAGCAGCTTGCTCACCACACAACTGCTAACAAAATCTTCCCCTTGATCCTGTTGACTTCCTACAATAATGTTTTCCATTTCATCACTATTTTAATTTGTTCTTATCCCTTTATGACTTGACCATGGTGTTAACGTGAATGTGTTGGTCATGCCAATAGAAAGGACTTCTGAGGCTAAAAAATACTTGTGTCATCCAGAAGATTCTCAAGGATGTATTTAAGAAACAAAGATGACCCTTTAGAAAACAAATTCTCTAAAACTTTATGCAACTAGTTTCCTGCATAACTATTTTTCTGTACAACTTTCTTTTCCTTGCCTTCTGAAGTGCACATAATTCTAAATTGCAAAGTAAAGTCCTTTTATAAACTTTTTTTTGGCACAGATTCCAGATAGCCCAAAGTAACTGACTTTTCTGCACAGAGCTAAAGATTTTAAAGGAGAAGACTGTAAAGACAGGCTCAGCTTTTTGTACCCCCTTCATCAGTGGCTGCAGTATCAGCTCAACTGATGAAACAAAAGGATGGGGAAAAAGCTTAGCAATCAATTCCCATTTTCATTTTTGAAGCAACAGCTTCGGCATCGCTTTTTTAGTAGGTGCCTGAAGTGGGCTGTAGTTAGTGTTTGTGTGGGGAGCAGTGACACTGGCGTCCTGCAGAGCGAGGCTTCGCTTTGCCCTTCGCCTGGCACCTTCCTGCGCCGTGTCGTCAGCGCCGCGGAGGGCAGCGCAGCGCGGCTGGGCACTGAAATCCTGCCCTCACCTTTGTAGTTTCTCCGTGGGCTTTGCCTAGTGCATCTGTGTTTGACTTAATAACAGTAATAATCAGTAGTGATGCGAACTGTAATAGTTTGGTCATAATTAACAGGAATGAATACTAGTGTTGCGTTCCTGCCGGGGGATTCCAGGTGGTGACTCTCATCTCCTAATGGGCAGCGAGTGGGATGCAGGCCCTTTCCAAACACCAGCCCTGGCTCCGATGCCCCAGGCAGTGAGCACGGCACCAAATCCCGTCGCTGCTGAGCTCGGCAGGACCGGCCGGCACGGGGCGGCGCCGAGGCTGTGCCGCCATCGGGATCTGAATCCATGCAAGCCGCGGGAGTTGGGATGGAGCCGCGGGGCATTTGGCAATCACGCTATTGCACAGCAGCCTTTTAGGCAGGGGAGTGAACCGATTTGTTGAGCAGAGATAGCAATATCAGCCCGCTGGCTCGGGAAGCAGCCAAACCTGCACGGAGCAGAAGCGGGCGCAGAGTCCAGGCCTGCACGGCTCCCCTTGCCTCATCGCAGCTGGCAGGCAGGCTCCTTGCTAGAGGCTCCAAAGGCCAGGAGAAATACCTCACCACGAGGCCGCAGAGGGCCCACGATCTCTCTGCGGGGCCACTTTGCCCAAGGCCCTGTCAGTTTTCTGGGCGTTTTCAAAGATTATGGAATATACAGAAACTGGCCTGCAAGAAACTCCAAGGTAGGAGAAAGTGTGGGGAGTGCTTGTTGCACACACGCTTGCCACTATCTTTGTATCTCCTCTCACTCATCACTCAGAGTACACACATAGCCACACATAAATAGGCATAGGATAACAGCATTGATCACACAAAGCATGGTGTTCAGCTTGTTTATTCCCAGCACCAGCCCTTGTGATATCTGACTTAGCCCGATCCCTACCTGGGGTTCCCGCCTGGCCTCGCTCCGCAGCCTGAGCTGCCTCAGCAAAGGTGGCTGCCTCTGCTCTGCGCGCCTGCCCTTTCCTTCCCTGCCTCACCCCCTTCCCTGAAAGAGATAGACTGCTTTCGTGGCTTCCCAACAATGAAAATCCATTTATTTTTTCTAAAATGTACCGGTATTATCAGATCCAAGATTCTGGAGAAGAAAACAAGCTTTTAGTGCTGTCCTCTTCCCTGGTTGTAGGCATGAAGCATTCTACAAAACTGCCGATATATTTGCAGATAATGTGCACAAAAAATGGTACCTTTTACCTCTGAATACCATGTGGGAGGTGCTTGGGCCTGCTGCTGGTCTGTGGAAGAAGAGGACATTTGATTTTGTGATATCTATAAGGGAGGCCTTGCTGTTGGGCTGCATTTTGTGTGCAAGACCTCATGAGCACCATAGCCTCAAAAGACTTTGCCCCAGCGCCGCGGCCTAGGGCTCCAGCRCCGGCTGGGAAGCCCTCGGGCTCCCCGTGGCTGTGAGGAAAGGTTTGGAAGTGGGGGCTCGGGTGAGGCGCGAGCCGTGCGMTGGCCCCACTGGCGGGCACGCCAGGCGTTCAGCTGCTGCTGCTGCTGCTGCTCCCCGCCGCCCTTTGCACCTGCCTGCCCCTTGGCTCCCGCAGCGCTGCGGGTTACGTGTCCCTGGCCCCGGAGCACACGGCGTGTTGCTGCGCACGTGATGGTGCCAGGCTGCGCTCCAGCTCGCTGCTGTAAGAGTATGTTGAGACACGGGTGATGCCATGCATCTGGAGGATGGCACAATCGTTTGCTTTACATCCCTTGGTGACTCTCTCAGGTCTGATTAGCACTTAGTGATGTGCTGTGAGCCAGCGCTTCCCCGGTGAAGCAGTTTGCTCGCAGGGTTTGCATGGGCTTTCCCCCGCATCCGCCAAGCAGCTTCCCAGCCATCCGTGCCTGAGCACAGCACAGACTCACCTGACCGGCCTGGCTCGACACAGCTTGGCCGTAAACATCCCTTGGCCATTTCTCTTTACGCCCTGGCACAGGCTTAAACCTTTTGCTGGGGCCCATCAGGAGCAGCCAGTGGCCCAAGAGAGGCTTCCCTTACTGATTCCTGATTCCAGCTACCACTGCCTTGTCCAAGGGCACTGTCTGGTTGCTTCTAGCTTATGTGGTACAGAGGAAACTCCAGGTCTCCATGGCTTCCCTGCTTTGCATGTGACTCTGTTTTTAAATAAGGCAAAATTACAGAGAGAGAGATTAAATCTTTCAATACATCAATTAATACAGATGAAAAAAACCAGCTTTCAAACACACAGAGCTGCTTCAGGCTTTTGTTTGCTTTAGTAATTGGTGCCATGTTTAAGTCACGATGTCGTCTCTCCTTGTCACTCGCCGTGCCTTACGCTGACTTGTCAGCAGCGTAGCTTCTCGTTTGGCAACAGCTGCTCAGAGTTGAGCTGGGGTTGAGCTATGCATCACCACGACAAACAGTTCAAAATGACTCCTTACAGCAATAGAACCCTGAAGGTTTCTGTAATAGATTAGCACTGTTGCAGGGAGGAAAAGGTATTTGCTTAATAACAGCAATGATAATGGTAAGGTGGCCAACCTGATTAGACCATTCTTTGTAAATCCTGAATGAGGCTGCTTGTATTATTCAACCAAAGGTTTGGGGTAAAATGGAAATGACATTAATGTCTAACTGGTATAAAACGTAGCATTTAGCTGGCATGCATGCTATAAAGGCTTAGGCGACATACTAAATTTTTAGAATACAAAAGAATGCTCAATCACTACCCACTTACTACAGGAAACAAGGATCCCATAGAAAAAAAAAAACCATAAATAGGCACTTGAATGTGCACAGAAGGACTGACTAAGCTTGTGTTCCTCGTCTTTTGAGGATTTCATTTTGCAACCCTATCCTTCTCCCCACACCCTTTCTTGGGAAAGGTTTTTACAACTTTCACTTCATGTTAGAGGTGTTCTGTGAGAACACTTCTGAGAATTATGTTACTTTTTAATGGTTACATAAAAGCTATTTCCCCTTGGAGTAGACAATGGCATTTTTGTTCATTGTTCTTGGGTGCAGTCAATATAAGCACCCGGCAGCGTGTGAGCGGGGCCAGGAAGGTCCTGCAGGCCCTGCGAGCACCCAGGCAGGCCTTGGGAAAGCGCGGCGCTCCGTGCAGCCCTCCGGCTGGCCCTGTGGCAGCTCCCGTGGTGCCAGCACAGCAATGGAAGAGGAATTCCTTGCAGATGGTTCAACTGTGGCGGACGTCCCGTGAGCTCTGTAAAATCTCTCCAGATTCCTGCTGGGTGTTTGAGACACATAGGTCTCCCCATAGAGTTGAGCATCGTGAGGCGGTCCCTCCATGTCCTGAAACGGCTGCAGCCGGGGCTCCGACCCTGCCGGGGCTGTGCCTGCGGCACCGTGCCCTGCACGCTCGCTCCCAACGCGGCTCCCAGGGCCTTGCTGCCGCGTGGAGATCCTGCACTAGCTGTTAGCTTCCTCGGGATCCCTGCGGCAGCCCCAGCCTAGAGGAGTCCTTGCCATGGCATTTCATCCCCTTCTGCTTAATCCTGTGCACCCTGCCAGCCCTGGGTGGGCCTTGGGAGTACGCAGCGCAAGGCAGCAGCTATCCCAAACCCTCTGGCCATTCGGCTGCTCCGGAGCTTTTAAGTCCATCAAATGTGTTCTGGGATCCTTTGCATACCAAGCATTTTTTTTTCTGAGCAACTTTCTTCTTTTGCGGGGGAACTCAAAGCATAAATTACAACCCACTCATGAAATGGGACAGGCTATTAAGCCACCCAAGTTTTTAATGTAAAATTGATTGAGGGTTGCAAAAGAAAGATATTGGGAAGACTTTCCAAAACCATATGATTTCTAATATCTCAAGTTCACTTGACTTGGTAACTTGGTAACTGGGAATAGCCAGGCTGCTAACATGCAAGTATATATTTCCTTGTAAGCAAATATAAGAGCCTGTATGTAGCTTGGTTTTATCTGGGGGGGGGAGGGACAAGAAAATTAGAAGCGTGGCAGTGTCTACCTCTAAAAAAAGGAAATATGTTTGAGTCAAGAATTATTGGGCAGCATTTTGCAAAAGGTCAAAAGGTTTTTTTCTGTCCTTGGATCTGCTCATGAGGATAGCCCACATGGCTGTAGGAGGTTTGTCAGCTTGCTAGGAGAAGGGCTGCTATCTCTCTGCACCAACATAAGACAAGAACAAATTCACCTCCATGCCAGCCATGGAAGTGAATTTACAGAACACATGGATTGGGTCTCAGCAGCGGGGCCTGGATTCGCCCCTTTGGAGAGGCCCGCAGCAGGCGGCGCTTGGCTGCGCTGGCCGTGCTTGTGTCCCAGGCCCCTTTGGCGGGTAGTAGAGGCAGGCTGGATGGCCCCAGGCCCTGCCTGGGACACGCTGGGGGGCACAGGCAGGACACGCTGCGCTGCCCTGCGCAGCGCCGGGGAATCCCGCGGGGCGCCGCCAGCACCGTACGTGTACGTGGGCCCACGCGCTGCGGCCGCGACGCCTCCCACGTGCCTCCTACCCGCCTGTCCCCCGGGAGCCTCCATGCAGCCTGTGCCGACTGCGCTCCCTGCCGAGCAGGGCCTGTTGAGGCTCTGGGCAGGGAGCAATACCTAATGACTGAGAGCGGCCACGCAGTTGCGGCATGAGCAGCGGGATCCTGCGGGTCTTGCTTGACACCCCGGTGAGGTGAGCCCCGCGCGTGCCGCCCGGGCCGTGGGGATGCTGCCGAGACAGCAGCGTGGCAGCGCCGTGCGGGGCCAGGGAGAGGACATGAGGTTACTGTGTGCCGTAGCCGGGCAGAGCCAGCAAGACGCCGCTGCCCCCAGACCGGGGTCTCCCACCCAGCGTGCAGAGCATCCTGCACTGTCCCCAGGCCCATGGGGTCTGCACGTGGGTAGGGGGCCGCTCTGGGGGGCAGCTCAGCAGCAGCCCCTCACCTGCAGCCTGGGGTGGCACATGGCGGTGCCAGGGCACACAGGGCAGCGCGGACACCAGCCCGTGGCTGCAGAGGTGCGTGTTGCATTTAGCTGCCAAAAGGGGCTGGGGGCCCAGGGGCTCATGCTTTGCCCCGTTGCCCATGTCCAGCCCCATTGGAGCTTGTGGTGGGGATGCAGGGAGCAGGCAGCAGCCGTGGGGATGCAGGGAGCAGGCAGCTGCACAAGCCCCGCAGGGGTGGCGTTGCTGGGGACAGGAGCTGCCAGGCAGGGGTGTCCCTGGTGCGGGCCGGGTGTCCCCGTGTGCGGGGTGTCCCCGTTGCGGGCTGGTGTCCCCGTTGCGGGCCGGTGTCCCCGCGCCACCGCGGCGCGGCGCGACGAGGCGCGGCGAGGCGAGCGGGGCTGAGCTTCGCCGCGCCGCGCCGCGCCGCGGGGACGGGCACTAAGACCGCGCCGCCTCCATTTCCTCTGAGGGTGGATGCAGAAGAGGAGGAGACCTCGAGGCACGGGAGGAGAAGGCGAGCGGGCCGGGGAGCGATGCCAGAGCGGGGCTACCGCTGAGGCGCGCAGGGCGAGCGGAGGGCGCTGGGGCGCGCAGGGAGGCGGCGGGCAGGTCGCAGCGGCGCCGGGGCGCAGGCAGCCATCCCCCCTCCCCCCCCGCCGAGGCCGGTCCAATGAACATGTCAGTGTTGACTTTGCAAGAATACGAATTCGAGAAGCAGTTCAACGAGAATGAAGCCATCCAGTGGATGCAGGAGAACTGGTGAGTGCGCGAGCCCGCGGCGGCTCGGGCGGCGCCCGCTCCGCGCGGCTCCGCTCGGCTCCGCTCGGCTCCATGCCGCTCCGTGCCGCTCGGCTCCGCGCCGCAGCGCGCGCGGCCGCTGAGCCCATCCGGGGCTGCGCCGGGGCGCGCGGGACCCTCCGCGCCCTTCCCGTCTCCTTGTGCGGCGCCGCGCACGTGCCCGCCGCTGCCCCGGCCCTTCCTCCCGCTCCCTTTCTCCTCCTCCTCCTCCTCCTGCTCCTCCTGCTGCTGCCCCCAGCCCCTGCGGCCGCCCCGCGCCGCCCGCAGCCGAGCGGACGACACAAGTTGCCGCCGTGTGTGTGTGTGTGTGTGTGTGTGTGTGTGTGTGTGTGTCTGTGTGCGTGTGCGTGTGCGCGTGTGCATATGTGTGCACGTGTGCAGGTGTGTGAGAAATGGAGCCCCGCGCCCCCACCTGCCCCCCGCGCCCGCAGGAACTTCATTTGCAGCCTGTGGGGATTGACTCGGTGGGCAGGGGGTGCCGGGCTCGGCGCTGCTGCCACCCTCCTGCCTGGGTACACGCACACACAGACACATGCACACGCATGCACACGCATGCACACACACACGCACACACAGACACGCATGCAAACACATGCGTGCACATGCGCACACACAGCCCCTCGCCCCCACAGCCCCCTCTGCCCTGTCCTGTGCTCCCTGCGTGGCGTGGCGTGGCGTGGCGTGGCGCAGCCCGGTTGGGCCCGGCCGCGGGCAGCGCGCGCTCTGCCCTGCTGCCCCACCTGTTGGGCCGGGAGCCGCTCTGCGCCGCACCTGCACGCCCGCCATCCTCCTCCCGGCCTCCCCTTCGGCCCGGCCTCGCTCCCTGCGGCCGCCGCGCTTGCCCCYAAGCCCACCCCTGCCCCACGCAGTGCACCTGCAGCTCGCTCCCCGCTTGTGCCCACCACTCCTCCCGCCCTGGTGGCCCCTCTTGCACCCCTCATGAGGCTCTCCCCGTCACCCCACACTCTGCTTGTGCCCATGGCAGGGCAGGAGCGGCTGAGTGGCTGGGGAACAGGTAGGTTGGCCAGGCTCAGCGAGCCCTTCCCAGTGTCCCCCAGGGACTCGCCAGGCTCCTCCAGTGGCTCCTGTGCATGTTTGGGAGCAGTACTGTCTAAATGACCATTTAGATGTTGATACAGCTCTGCTCTCCTCTAAGCAGCAGGCTCCTTAGCCCTTGAAGGATGCTCTCTGTGGCTCTCGTTTCAGGAGCCGTTAGACCACGTAGGTATTCTTGGGCTGGGAGTGCTGGATGCTTCCCATTTTGTTCACATTCCAGAAGAAAATTGGCATCAGAATAGGGCAAACCAGTAAAAGAGGATGGAGGGGGTGGTATCTGGGAGTATACATTAACCAAATAACCCATGAGAGACACAGTGTGGAGGAATGAGCTAAGGGCATGATGAGGACTGAGGACTCATGTGCCCTCCCCGCAGCTCTGCTGCGCGTCGCGGTGTGACCTTGAGGAGAATTACATAACCTGTGGTAGGCCTCAGTTTCCCCAGCAGAGGCACCGTGGGGAGGCAGCACTGAARCCCCTCAGGGGTGCCCTGGTGGCGCCGGGGGCATGTGGAGCGTGCCCTGAGGATGTGGGTGCTGTGTCAGCGCCCAGGAGCACTGCTGGAATCTCCCTCCCTCTCTTGGGTGCGGCAGACATCACTCCGCTGGGACCCTGGTGGCTCCCACCTGGTGCACTTGGAGGAGGGCACCYGCAGCTTGGCGCGTTTGCCGTGCGCCGGAGGAGTCCGAGTGACAAGCGTGACACCCTTTCCCCCCGCTGCATCTGCTGCCGGGGCCGCATGAGCCCGTGCGCCCGACGCCCCGCAAGGCRGAGGGGAAGAGCAATCTGCCCGCGGCCCGAGACGCCTTTCGCAAGTGAGAGGAGGCTGTGCCCCCGCGTACCCTCTCGTAGCAGGCGCTTGAAAGTGGAGATCCCTCCGAGTTTCAGTTAAATTGTGCTTTTTTATCTTGAGGGAGGGAGTTAACTTAATGAAACACTTCCCCTTTCCAGCGGGGGRACTTCTGGGGCCGCTCAGGCGGTACAGCTGGGCAGCCACGGGCTGTGCAGGAGTGCCTTGCTGCTCCGTATCAGGGCTGTAACAACAAATTTGTCTGCCAAGCCATCGGTAAGTCAGTAAGTGCCTCCTCGACGTTGTAGGCATAGCCTTAAAGTAAACATCATTAATGTACGAGTGACCTAAGACGAGGTTGTTAAGCAGTATGTTGTAAGGATAAACATGGTTGTTCGTTCTCTTTGACAGGAAGATGGAGCAGGTAGTATTGCTTCAAAAAAAGGCTGTAATAGTCATTTAAATTAGGATGCCACACGTCATCCTAACGTGGAGGTAAGCAAATCATATAGGTGTGGCATTTGTTATTTTGCTTCCATCTCAGAAATAGTTCTTGATGCCTTACAAGGCCAAAAAGAAGTCTGAAGAGTATCAGGCAGGATCAAGCAGCTCAAGGACCTCRCGCTGTCTTTAGGACTTTGAGTAGCATCTTCAGAGCCTGGCTCGACTGCAGGTGAAAGCAGAGCGTGGTTGCACGTGGGACACGATCCCCGTTGGCACCCTCTGCCTTCCGGGCTGCTTGGAGCTCTGACAGGCCCTTGGCCACAAGCGCTGCTCCCTCCGGCTGGTGAAGCTCAGGGGGCAGCAGGGCCCGTGGGCAGCAGCGCGGCCCGGCCCGGCAGGCGGGCGGCACCGCGCTCAGCTGGCTGCTCTGGTGCTGCTGCCCTGTGCACTGTGGCYGCAGCGACTGTCCTGCGTGCTCAGACAGGCTGCGCGAGGGCCGTGAGCTGGTGAACGGGGAGCTGAGCTGCAACAAGGTGCTGGCTCCCCGCTAAAGCCTTTGGAGGCTTCTAGGAGGCACCAGTGGAGCATGGCAGGGAAGGGGAGCAGTAGCAGCGGATGAGCTCCCGCTTGCTCCACACCAGTGGTCCCGTCTTGCTCCAGGAAGGCCTCTGTCCTGCAGGTGCATCACGAGAGGGCCATGACAGAGCAGGCGTCCTTGGCTCTTTGGAAAAGGGGAGCTGGCGCCTGGAGGCCGGGAGGGTCTGCGCTTCCCTGGTGTTAGGCCATGTGTGTCTCCCCTGGGTGCTGCGTCCCCCAGCTGCTTCCGCGGCCGGGAGGCAAGAGCGGAAGGTGAGGTTAGAGGTCAGCGCGGCAGAGGCGCCCGGGCGGCGAGCTGGTGCTGGGGCTCGGGGCTGGCCGCCTCCCTGCACAGGGGCTCCGGAGGAGCCTCCGAGATGTCCTGGAGCGCCGTGCGCGTCGCGTTGCGGCAGGGGCTGGCACTGTTTAAGCACCGTGCCCCCAGAGAGCTGCCCGTGGAAGAGCAGACACTGAACCTCCCTAGTCATGCCATGTGTGGGTTGGGGGAGTTGGGATTTCAGTCAAGTCAGGGCTCAGTCGAACATTAAAACGACTGCATGAAATAATTTGCAAGCTCAAGCTCCCGACAGCACCTCTTCCTGAACTTTTTGAAAGAGAGGAGAGGAATATAGGGAATAATCTGCAGCTGACTTCTGTTTGCTTATTTATTTATTTATTTGTTTCAGCCCGGTTGCTGCATGAGGAGCCCTTCCTTTGTGGCGAGCGAGCAAGCCGTTGTTCTTTCGCAGAGCGTGCCCGGCTCGGTCGGCCGCGCGGCGGGGAGGAGGCGGGCGCCAAGGTGCCGCTTTGCGGCCGCCACGGGCGGCTGGAGAAGCGGCCGCGCTGGGGGCGCCCGGCCGGCCCTGCTGCAGCGCGCCAGCGCTCCCTGACAGCGGCTCCTCTTATAATTGCCTGGCCAATAATAATTATCTTCAGATGTCTGCTGACGAGGGCCTCGCCAATGGGGAGGCAGGAGGCCTGTGCTGACTGCGCCGGGATTATCTGGGCGAGGTGACGTCAGGCGAGGGCTTGCCGAAAATCACGCACAAAGTTTTGCTGCGCCGCGGTGGCAGCGCTGGCCTCCGGCCTCCGGCCTTGCTCCCCCACAGCACCAGTGCCCGCGGCCCCTTAACCCTCGCCAGCCCRGAGCCCTTCTCACCGCAAGCAGCAGCAGCCGCCTGAAGGAGGCGGGGAGATAGAGGCGATCATTCTGCAAAGCTGCTTTGCAGGGTGCTGCAGAATAGGCCTGGTTTTGTCCCTGAACTTTCCCTAAAGAACAAAGCACCCGGGAAGTCATCTAGGCTTTTCTTTAAAGGGCTCTGGTACTTCATGTGTGACTTCAAAAATACCTTTGCAGACCCCACAGTGCTATAACTGTGCGTGTTTTAAAAGCATTGCAACACAGTAAGTTATTTTTAACCTTTTGCTGCATTAAATTTTCATGTGGTTAAAAAACAGAAAGTGCAACTGACTGAGAGAAATTTGTTCTCCGAAGTAATTTCTTTTTTCCCAGTCAAAACTGAAAATAAGTTTAGGAGAGCAGAAAGTCAAGTAATCGGTGCTCACTTTTTCATAATTCACGGAAGCACCGTTGCTCTGGGCAGGGTTGCCTCCTTGTCGTGCAGCAAGCTTCTCTCATCACTTGAGCTCCTCATGTAAGGATGAAAAGTGTGGGTGCCGTATCCCTGTGGGCACACGTGCATGGAAACCAAAAGCGAATGGCAATCTCCTCCTTGTTCCCCAAGCTCTTGCCCAAGGCCCGGGAAGGGCGGCGGGCTCTGCAGCCTCCTGTCCCCTCCATGCCCTGCAGCAGGACTCGCAGGGCAGCGGCAGGAGCTGCTCTTTGCTGCAGACACCGTTCGCAGGAGCGGCGCGGGGAGGCCGAGGAGCCAGGGTGATGGCAGTGCCCCTGCCTCACGCCGGCCCGCGCGCCGTTCGCAGCAAAGGCCCCGTTCCTGGAGAGTCGCGGAGTGTCGTCTCCCTGATCGTCCAGGTATAGAGCCCCTGAGGGAGAGCAGCACGTGCTGTTGCAGAGCTACGTGGCCGGGTGTTTGCTGTCTCTTGTGCGTCTGTATTTGGGGTCAAAAAAAGGCA